ATTCCTTGCAAATACCTGTTGCAGTATATGAACTGTCATGCATATATGCAATTATCTCCAACCACATTGGTGAAATTATATTAAACAAAGAAAGAAGTGCAATAAGGAAATGAAGAAAACATCTACAGAGAGAACACTACATAAGAAGAGAGATGCAGTAGGGAATGAGAGAGACTGTAGCTGGGTGGAAAGAGACAGGCTATAAATATAAACAGAACCATACAGAATCAAGTCAAAGTGAGTTCAGAAACAAGAAACGTACAAGTCAGAACACATATCTGTCAACTGCCTTGTTTTTCGAAGACAATTTGCAGATTTTGACTCCCACCTTCTGTGCATTTGCCTGTGAAGGGATCCCAAATTATATATGTTTATTGTTTTGAGTAGCTTCTTACCACTTACAGCTATATGTGTATGATATGACTTGAGATGTGTCTATGTACTGGCATTTCTGTCAGGGTTACATACTAAAGTGGGAATTCAAACTGAATTTTGAATTTAGATTACAGTAGCCAAAATGAAAGTATAGATGCCGTAGAGACTTTTTTAAACATTTTTTAGTTTGTTTATTAAATTTTAATTCTCACTTTAGTGAATAACCCAGTATGTTTTCAATATGCTGATGGTGGACATTGATCTTGTGTTCAATTGTTTTCTGTTAGGCAGCTGTTTTTAACCGTCTGTCAGTAGAGGATAGCATTAGCTCTCAACTTGTACAGCAGATAGTGAGAAGGTCAAACTGGGCTGGATTATAGTTGTGTATTAACTGCTATCAAACTGTGTTTTATACTAGTATCATGCATCTGTCTATATTCTATAATGCTACCATAAACATGAGGGTATGAATTATGTTATTCTATGAAGTTATATCTTACTTTGTAGATTGTGTAATAATGTCCCCATGCTTAGTGACTGATATTATGCACATATACATTGGTCATGTCACAGACTTGGCCCAAAGCAGATGGCCACTTCAGACAGCCTGGCAGAAATATGTATGCATAGTTGAAAAAAATCATTGGTTTCCTCTAATTCATTATTTTTTGTCAGGTTGTTTGATATGGAAGGATTAAAGATCTTGTCGAAGACACAGCTAATGAGAAGGGCTATTAGCAGTATATTTGGAATTGCATGGGTATATCTCTTAAGTTAAAGCTCATTTGAAGCAGGATTCTGCATGATGCCAGTGGACATTGATTGTGGTAGTTATAAGTAGAACTAGCTACAGACTGGCAATGTGCAGATGTACAATCAAGCATTATTCCAGAAGATAGGAAGATATGAGAGGAGGATTAGTCTGTGGAATGCTTTATTGATCAACATTTTATTCCAAAGTCGAGAACAGGGATAGACAACTTTCGGCACAACAGATATTGTGGACTACATCTCCCCTCCTGCTATGACAGTATTATGGCTGCAGGAGCATTATGGAATGTGAAGTCTACAACATATCCTATCCCCTGGTCTACCACATAGAGAACCCAATCATAGTTCATGCTTCTCAAAATTGTAAATAGACAGTGGGGCACTTTTGTTTTTAGAGCAAAATGTATGACCTGGAAGTGGTGTTTGTCTGAGACATTTCAGATCTTATTGACTAAATCTTAATGCCTAAATTCTAAATACTTCATTTAGATCAAACTTATGTTACTGTCTATACATCTTAAGATGTTGTGGGCTCTGTGAGTTACTGATACAAACCAAACATGAATTGATATAGAGACAGAATTGGAAAGAGAGGATTGGATATGTACTTACTTTTTGAATGAATTACCTTAATCAGTATCAGACAACAAAACTGTAAAATGTGTATTCCTGCACAGCAGATGAGTAAAAATGTTTTTTCTGTATATAGTAAGAGCATCTGATTGTCAATGAATGCTGCCGATGCTTTATACACTGCAGGCCTCTGGCATTTGCTCTCTCTGCCCCTTCAAATGGTTCTGACACAATGAATACACATGATAGACATTCAATAGCAGATGTCCTGGTATACAGACTACATGCAGGATGCAGCCTTGGACACCCACAGACTGCTGTTTGCCAGTTTTTATTTCTGAACAGACCAATCCAGCATTATAACCTCGTGTTACCAAAGCTGAGCAACACGCACAGCTATCACAGTCCCCTCGGAAAATATATTCATACGTTTGGGAGCGAGAAAATAAAAGGCAAGAGCTGACACTTTTTTCCCACTTAACTCAGGACAATTATGCATTATCAGCATCCAGAGAATACATTAGGAATTCATATACATCCTCCTTACCATCTTTACTGTTCTAGTATCACTGGTATTTAGGAGCTTCAAAATATATTGGCTGTATAATTAAATCACAGAGCTCCATGATACTGCAGCTCAAAATAAGGCGTATCTTTAAGGGACTTTCATGTATTCAGGTTAAGAAGGTTGGCTTTGTTCTGAAATACTTTTTAATACAAACTGCTATGCATAAGTAAATAATTAACCTATAATTGGAGAGTAAAGACCAACCCATATCTACAATCACTTAAGAAAAGAACATGCCCCACTTTGGCCAGTTGATATGTCTAGGGATAAATGAACTGCGTTGATTTCTATATCATCATAGGGATGCTTTGAGGATCAGACAATTCCACCGAAGCACAAATAGACAGATAAAGTTCTATAAGTGGTCCGCTGTTTGCTTGTATAAGTATTCATTCAGTATACATGCTAAATAATCAAGTCAATAAATAATAAACAACTCACAACAAAGGCAGCAAGCTGAGATCCAGCTGGTGGAAATGTGGCTCCCAACATGGAAACTCGATTACAAGGAACATCTTCCAGCAGCATGTCTTAAGACTCCTGGGTCTCCACCACCTGGTTGTATGTCTAGAAAAGGGCTCAGGAAACCTGTCGAGAAAAATCTGTCTGTCTGCTTATGCTCTATTCTGTGTTTTTCAGTCAGCTATTCCAACACCTTGTTTGGTAATTTATCTAAGGATGCTGCAGGATACACTAAGAGAGATTTATAATTGCAAACTAAATTGTTATCTTAGAACGGTAAACTTCTGCAACACTTTTTATATGCTTGCAGAATAATTCTTAAATTATTATTAAATTATACTTTTTTCTTTTTTTCTGCCAGTAATCATATTATACATATGCACAGACATTAATTATGATAAAATTGCTCTACTTTTCTCACTGAAACATGTTTATGCATCTCCTTCAAGCATTGTATAACAAAAAGACCTTTCTATTCTCTTAGAAATTTAGCTATGGTGTTTGTTCTTATTTATGGCTTTCAGGTGCCCAGGCATTCAAGGTTGGGGGCTTTAGATGTAAGGGTTCATCAAGCTTACAATGCTGTGATGATTTAAGGTCATGGTTTGTGCATTCTAAAGTAAGACCCGTTTGCAATGATGTTTTATAAGTGGAACACTGTTCGTAGTTTTGTTTTTCAGCAGGTCCATCTTTTTATGTTGTACTGGTGGTGCGCTTTTGAGAGATTCCAAATTATATGTGCATGTCTGCTTATTGTAGGCTGCAAGGCATTACTTTATATTATCCTACTCACTACTCAACTGGTTAAGGAGTGTGAAATTGCTGATGGTCACATTGATGTCCATTTTTTATTATAATGTAATTGAGTGACTGATGATTATATGCTGTATTACACTGTACCCTCAGTGTGTGACATTCAGTATTTAAATTAGTTTTCATGGGGGAAGGAGAACCCCTCACCGCCGGGAGCTTTGCAATTGAGGCTCCACAAAAGACAGTTGCTTGGACTTACTTCAGGTCTGGGACAGTGGGGCCTGGGTGATGGCTCTAATATAGGCCTGGGGCTGGCGTCACGTGAATCTGGTGTTTCTGCGGCCTTATAATAAATGGCTTATGCTGATTGTATCTCTGCCACTACCTAGATGGGGTATGGGCTGACCAACCTAAGATTGAGTGGTAACCCTTCTATTAGGCTTAATGTTTTCATAAGCTTAACTATATTCTTGATGAGGATCTAGTTGCATTTTTCTTTTTGTCTCGGTATTCCTATATGTTCTATATTTGGATCGGGCAGCCCCTGGAGTAATGTTTTTCAGTCACACATTTTCTTTGTTACTTTATTATAATCCTCTCTGATCATAGCTTAATGGTCAGTTATTTTTCCTGTTATTTTAGTTGTTAATTGCATACATACTTAACTTTTTTTTTATATCTGTGAAGCACACTCACATGCAATATTGACACACTCAACACAGTATAGGTTGTCATTTTGTTGCTAGGACCTTAAATGTGAGACAATTTACGTATCTAGACAGGTTTACCCCTTCAATATGTTGTCATGATGTAGAATCACCAGACTACGTTACCATGTAAAACTACATTATACATTTCCTAAAAATGTGCAGTGTCCATAAATGCCTTGTAATGATAAGCTTTTTTCATTGTATAGCAGATGCTGGTGTGGCATCTCAAGTAAGTTGATCATTATGCACATCAATAATAAAGTATGTAAAAAAATTAAAGTAAATTCGTTTTTATGGAATGATAGCCTTACTAAACATGTAAGGAAAAAAGGGTAACATTGTCTTCTATCATGTTGACTTGGGCAAAATTCTCTGTACTTAAATGTGACATTAAAACTTTTTTAACACAGACAGCTGAAACTTTTGGGATGACTTCTGTAATTCCTAGTACTTTTTTGTATGGGGATGCTGGCTTTTTGACCTACCTATTTGCTGCAGTGAATTTGGATTCATCCTTCAACCAACAGAAGCTCACTAATGGCTCATAAGTATTTAATTTAAATACTTTTCATAATCAGGGATGTGTTTACCGCGAGGCAAACCAGGCATTTGCCTTGGGCTGCAATTTCCGAGGGGGGGTGCAAAAAATGCTGCCCCAAATGCCCAGGCAAACACCTTGTTTGCCTTGTTTTATGGGAGCCCAAGAACTGGCCGACTGGCCACTTTTGGGCTCCACCAGAACAGGCGGCCAGTTATTTCCCGGGTGGGCAGCGAGGGAGCACTTTCCCCTGAGCTCTCTCTGCTCAGCTACCTCGCACGACCCGGAGTAATGCAGGGAGCCAGCATCACTCTGCAGCGCGCGAGGGAGCTGAGCAGAGAGAGCTCAGGGGAACGTCCGCCACCTCCCTGCCCAGCAGTCCCACTGGACCCCAGGTGAAAAATCCATCCAGCTATCCCAAAAGTAGGGAGGCTGGGTGGATTTCATATTTAAAAAAAAAATAATAATAATAATTGTGAGTGGGGGAAATGTGAGTGTCTGTCAGTGAATGTGAGTGAGTGTGTGTGTGTGTGTGTCAGTGAGTGTGTGTCAGTGAATGTGTGTGTGTGTCAGTGAATTTGAGTAAGTGAGTGTGTGTCTGTCAGTGAATCTATGTGTGTGTCGGTCAGGGAATGTGTGTGTGTGTGTCGGTCAGTCAGTGTGTATGTCTCGGTCAGTGAGTGCGTGCATCCGTCAGTGAGTGCATGCATCTGTCAGTGAGTGCGCACATCTGTCAGTGAGAGTGTGCGTCTATCAGTGAGTCTGTCAGTGAGTGTGAGTCTGTCAGTGTGTGTCCGAGTAATAGTGTATGTCTGTCTATCAGTGTGTCAAATCAGTGAGTGTGTGTATGTCATTGTTTGTCAGTGTATATGAGAGTGTGTGTCTGTCAATGAGAGTGTGTGTCTGTCTATGAGTGTGTGAGTCTGTCAGTGAGTGTGTGAGTCTGTCAGTGAGTGAGCGTCTGTCAGTCAAAGTGCAGCCTTGACAGGAAGGGGTGGGAAAAATTTAAATTAGGGGGGTGCCCGAGCTCCGTCCTGCTTAGGGCAGCACAAATCCTAAATACACCACTGGACATTATGTTTCTACTGAAGTGGGAGATCTGTATTGCTTCAATGTGGAGATCTGTGCCTCCACTATTAGGAGCTCTGTGTCTTCTAAATCTAATTAGTGGTTTTAAGTAGAATTTCTATTTTCTATTAAAATAGTTTAAAATGAGTATTTTGTTTTTATAAAATGTTTCTCAGAACAAACATTTGCATTAAAAAACAAGATGTACAAATGTGTGATAATTTACAGATACATTTCATGGCAGTAAGGAACATTTGGTAGAGACTTCAATAGGTTATATCACAAATTTTATATATTGAAGTGTGTATCTCTTTTCACTTTAGCAGATTGTATCTGTGTATCACTGCTTCTTATGTAAGATGGTCAAATACTATTAACACATTAAATGTAATATAGTGGAGTTTATATCATTTTCAGGATGTCTTGGATCCTAAGGAAAATGTTGTTGTATATGTGGCCCGAGTGGCTTAACTTGGACTGCTTTGTGATAAATGTACATATTAATTAAAAAGACATCTGTCACTGGAGTTAAAGCCACGTTTTCCTAAGTACTCCTCATCACTACCAAATGCAGGGTTGAATTTAATCAATGCAGGGTGAAAATGTGGATTTAAGAATGATACTCATCAGGAGAAAGTGCTACTTAATAGCTATATGTATTACCCATAAGATAAAAGACTGCTGAGCACTTGCATGGTAAAATGATTTCCTTTCTCTATATTCAAAGGTTCTGCCCCATCCTTTTTCATTGACGTAATATGAGCGTTAAGAGAATGAGGTTTGTGTATTCTAAAAGTGCAGTCAATGTTAGAAAAAAAAATCAAAACACAGTCATTGTTAAAAAATTAATGATTGGTAATGAATGTTTGGCTTCCTCAGTCTGTCAGTGTCTCTATCTACACGTGATTAAGAAAGTGAGGAGATTCAAGTCTTTTTTTTTATAAAAACGTGCTCTTTGGCTTTATAATATGTTGGCGGTTTTTGCTTTTTCAGGTTATTGCAGTGGATTGCATGTTTTCCTTTCATTATATTTCCTTCCATGTATTCATTCTCATTAATGTTTTGATTTAAAAATGCAGAAAACCTTCATTTTCTCAGCACAGTTTTCATCCTTCTTTAACAGTATTTACCACTACAAAGCATGCAATTTGTCACGGAATTTTGTTGGTTGTTAATCTCCAAACTGTACAAATTGCAGTCTAAAGAGATAATTACATATGGATAATCACTGGCTCCGACTACAACCGTACATGGTTAAAAAGCTCAGAGAAATGTAGTTTGGATTTTAACTTTACTATTAAGGGAATGTATGTTATGTGTATATGAGGGTCCAAGTGGACAATCATTCTTGTACTTTTTCAGAAGAGCTGTGGCAAGACACTTGATCTTTCTTTGATGCTTGGTCACAACACTCTTCAAAACCTTTTTAACTCAAGTGCCAGTGATCTTTTGTGTTACTGTATCATCCTCTGCAGACAGTCAATGTATTTTATCTTATGTAATGAGAATTTCAAAATACAAAGTTCACTCTCTTGTGACAGAATAATTGGACGACCAGGCTGTGAACACGTTTTTATCAATATTGGATGCAGTTTGTATTTATTGTATTAGTTGATTTGTGCTGGATGGTGTATGAAAATACTTTATTTTATAGACCCGCAATATATTTCCAAGTCTAAACAGGTAATAGGTGATGTTCTAGGTTTTAAATAAGCCTTACAACGTTGTGCTCATCTCTAAAAATGTTTCATTGTATGCAAGCTAAAAAATTGAATGAATGGAAGAGCCTCCAGAAATGTAAAAACTCAAAAACTATTATTAACAATACTATATGCACGAGAATACATGATATTAGATTTCTTCAAAATACAATAAAATGTGTATTGTTATAAACTTTTGCTTTCAGTAACATCTAAAATGAACCTCATTAATGCCACCATGTGGTCAGAAAGAATACTTACTTTATAGCAAACTTTGAAATGGTAGTAATTAGGAATAGGAATATGTATAAGAATGTGATTATTTACAAGGGGCTGTAAGAGTATAACTAATGTCAACCTTCTAGGTAAACAGAAATCTGTTTCCACAGACAGATTGAGCAGTCTGTTATTAGCTAAGTAGATACATTATATATTCAATGTAAAGTTTTAATTTATTAGCAGTGCTTCCAATCCAATGCCATCATGTCTTTCGATCAGCTGGTGTTAGCTTACTGTAACATTCAACTCTGGTCTCCCTTTTATAATCCTCGAGATGTAAATGGATTGGTCCTACCTGGGACACTTTCCATAATCCTCTTCCATGGCAACAATACGTGACTTCACTACCAGTGCAGTGATGTTGTTTACTTCAATCCTATATTCCTATAGCCAATGCTAGAAATGCTGGCTACAGAGTAACTCCGGCAACCATAGCACATGCCTGTAGATGCTTGAAGACTGGAGAACCATCTGTAGAAGGTAACTCCTGGTCTCCCTGGCAGTCAGGTCCTGAACATCAAGAGCTGATTGACAGGTATTCGTATATCGAAAGTTTTTTCTCCCAATCTATACATTCGTTAGAAAATTTTCCTGCACAATGTATAGATTAAATGTAATGTACTGTTAAATTAAATAAAGTTGGTGTACCATGACAGGTACACTTTAACCTTCTTTTTTTTTTTAAATATGTTGTTAGTTTGTGGAATTCTTAATATAATCATATATTTATTTATTTTTAAATTGTAGTGTGATGTGACAAATGTGTCGCTCTTTTTTCCTCAAATCTTAGGTAAAGAATTACATGGATATTTGGCAGTCCTAAGCCACTCTTTAAGACATTGATATATTGATACTTTCACTTCTGGTAAAGAGAGACCATAGGGCACAAACATTAATAAAATAAGCACTTTGTTACCATTGAGATTGGTATAAGTGCTCTTTAATAATAGGTTATTTTATATAGTGTTTTGCAATTTTGTTATGTTTCTGCCTTTTTCTTCTGCCTCATTAGCTGCAGAGATTCTCGAAAAATTAAATGGAAGCGCTCAGCCTCTCTAAATTTTGTATATGACTAACTCAACATTTGGTATCCAGATCAGCAATACATTTTATTCATAGCATCTATAAACAAATTTATAATGATTTTAAAATGAATAATTATTTGCATGGAATCCTTAACTGTTAATATTTTTAGATTTATCCTTATACACCGACATCTTACCAGAGTCATTTGTATTTTGAGCACAGCTGGCTTCCGCTTGGGCAAATTTACCATTCACAAGTCAGCCATGGCTTACATCATATCCAGACTCCATTACATTCAAGAGTCTTACTTTAGGACCATGTGAATCTTTTTGTATTAAGCTTAGCAACTATGGGAAGATATTGTTGCTTGTTGAGCAAACTTTTAAACTCTGAAATTATCCATCCTATTATTCTTTTATAGTAAAGATCATTAAATTATTAGTGCTTCTTATATTTGAATATCTCCATTGCTCTCGATAGCTATCTACATGTCTACCAATGTATGTTGTTTATGTTGTAACTGAAATATTCACGTTATAATTTTTCTTTGTGTAATCAAGCCCATTACATTAATTTTCATTTGTTTTTCTAATACATTTGCTGTTCCATTGGATTTAGAATCTTGTAATATATATATATATATATATATATATATATATATATATATATGTATCTTATATACACATATACTCAATTATCTATTGTTTTAGATTCTGTGATTCATATAAACCTGCCCACTCACTAGATAGAGTAAATACAATTCAGCTTTGAATACTTATACTGTGGGTGGGTTCTCTGATAGCAATGAAACATCACCCTGAATTAAAAAAAATAATTGATTTGTCAGCAGCTTCATTTTCATTCCTTCACCAATACCAGGTAGGGTCAGAAATGTTCCTTTGGAAATATGTCAACAGATCCTCATCATCTATTGAGAAGATTGTTCCTCTTGTTAGAAATGCATCCACTTGCTGAATTGTTTTTATTCCTTAACCAATACTTTATAGAAAAGAAATGTTCATCTAGAGCAGTGGTTCTCAAACCAGTCCTCAAGACCCACCAACAGATCTAGAGATTTTTCAACAAATCACCAACTTCTGTTGAGGAGCTTGCTCTTCTTGTTAGATATGTATCTAATTGTTAAAGATGTCCCTCTGGCTAGAGAATGTCCAAGTGGATGGAGACATTACTCTTGTGTTTGAAGATTACCTCTATGGTTGGAGACTTTGCTTCTCTGTTTGGAGATTTCTCATCTGATCAAATGTTTTTCCTATGGTT